TATGATTTTCACATGAACCACCCCCTACTTGGCTCACCAAATACTCTTCCCATTTTCTCATCTTTCTCTATTCTTCATCCTTCAAAAAGTGAGAAACTCAAATAAATTCAAGCCTAGTTGGGATAATCTAAAGTAAGATTATTAATCTTCATCCTTCTAGCTTCATTTTGAGTTTCATTTCACAAGTTTTTAAGTATAGAACCAAAAATGGGTTTTGAGAGGTTTATGGGAAACTATGGACTCTAGCTATGTTTTGGGTGGATTTAGGTTATAGGGATTTTATTTAGATTATATCCAACTCTTAGATGGATTAGTAATCCCTTTTCTCACTTTTTTTAGTGAAGGAGCTAGGAGAAAGCTCACAAGCTATAGAAAAAGAAAAATTGAACCTTGGTTGATTGGGGAGAGTCATAGCCATCAAAAAAGCAAGGTAACACATTCACAACTCTTCTATACCTTTAGTGAGTCATTAGAAGTGTAAGATGGCATAACGATTAAGATTAAAGCATGTTGAGTATGATTATGGTAGAATTCATGTTTTGATGTTTAAACATGTTATAAAGCCTTCTTTATGATCCTTATTTCATACATAGAACATTAATAATGATTGGGTATCTCTTTAGGGTCTTTGGGATAGGAAGATAGAGTTTTTCGTGCTAAAATGGTACACTCTATAGGTTGGATCTCAATACTGGTATCGATACCCATTCAAGAGTATCGATATCGGGGTCATGGTCTTAAGACCCCCAAGTTTAGTATCGAGACCAAAATTTTAATAGCTATTTTAGTTTCGAAACTTCCATAGAGTATCGAAACTAAGTCATGGGTATCGATACTGAAGGGTCAGTATCATTACCAACAGTCTGTTTTGGGCAACAAAATCCAGTTTTAAGGGATTAGACTCGAATTACCCCAACACTTCAGTATACCAACAATATGACTACAAGTGAAAACATTAATGTTGCTTAATTACAATTAGAAATGAGATCAATTAGAGGACATAAAACTAGTATTGGTTTATGCTTGGGAAATAATCAGGACATTCGAATTTCTTTAGTAAGATTATGATGTCGAAGTATATAATCAATTCGAATATCCTTAGGTAGTGAGCAAGATACTTTAAACTGACTAACTAGGGTTGAGGTCTGACATTCGCGATGGGTGGGTTAGTCGAGGGTGTTATGTCTGATGTAGAGATTCTGGGTCTCATCCTCTGTAGAGTAGAGGGGCACGTGACCTCCAAGATGTAGAATCCTCAGTCGTACTATGATGTCTACCATAGAGTAGAGAGTGCAGTATACGAGTATACTCATTATTTTGGTATTATCAGTTAGCTTGAGCTTGTCGTGAATACTTTTAGTATGACTTGTTGTTAGTGTTACACTGGGCTAGTATGCTCAGCGTTTGGAATTTGTTTCCTTACGCAGGTTAGTCGAGGAGCAGTCGGATGACCTTTTTTGCTAGCATTTATCTAGACCAGACTAATACAGAGTACGTCTCAAGTTCATCTTTAGAGGGCATGTATATTTGTAAACCCATTTTGTATATACGAGTCATAACTTATTTTAACTGATGGTATGTATGATTTGAATTATTATTTTTGGGAGCTCTTGATGTAAACTATTTTATTTAAATTATGGTTGATTTATCTTAGCATGAGTATTTACGAATGATCATTTCATATTTCAAAATTAAGGAAAAATTTTGGTTAGCCACTCCGGTGGTTCTGTGTGTCATTCAGATCTGTTGACTGTGCGTTGTACATGTATAGGATGTTACAATGTATCTCACGAGGTACACATCTAAATATAAAAGTGTTGATGTATTGTACGGGGTACACATCTAAATATGAAAACAGTGATGTATTGTATGGGATACACACCCAGCTACAAGTAATATGATGTATCATACGGGGTACACATTTAAATATGAAAGTGGTAATGTATTGTACTGGATACACACTCAACTATAGCAATATGATGTATCGTACGGGGTACATATCTAAATATGAAAGTGGTGATGTTTTGTAAATGATACACACCCAATTATAAGCAAGGTGATGTATCGTACGAAGTACAAATATAAATTTATGAGTAGCAAAATATTATAATTGTACATCAGTTGAAATAAAGGTATGTCTTGGTAAGAGAACCGTGATATCATCGAGAAAGGAGATAAATGAGGGATGATAAGTAAGTTTAATAAGATTAACGAAAGCTCGAGAACATAATACTCTAAGAACGATTAGAAAATTTTTAATGACGTTTGTATAACATTTTTCCGCTGACTTTCAAAATTTATGGTTATATGAGTTTCATTGAATAGTTATACATTATTGGACTCTTGTAGCTCATTCTTGAGTTGTTTACCATTTTCAGGATTTCGATAGTTGATAGAAATCCCATGGAGCACCGTCACTGAGGAATTCCAACACTTTTTGACTACCAGGGTACAATTTTGAATTCTATAAGAGGCATGTGCATTCTATGTGTACTTGTGGTTGTAATATGTATTCAGTCTAATGTCTGGTTTTATTTTGAACTATTACATATTTATTTAGTGGATCATGAAAAAGTTAGCGCTCAACATTTTGTATGTGAACTATCTCAATTGTCAAACGTTTTATACTTTTATATGAAAGATGTTTTTTTAGAAGTTTTAAGTTAACGGATTTTTATTTTATGGATTTTGAGTCACTTTTGAGCTAGATGTGACACTTTAAGCATATTGATGACACATTAGGTTTATGGTGTTATAGATAATCATATTTAATAAACTTTCAGTTTAATACAATTTAATGTAAAAATAATACAAGAGCAAATAGGAAAATGGATAAACTATATATTTGGTCATTCTCGCAATTTCATTTTAGTCATTTAATCATTTTTAAAAAAAAAATCATATCTAAAGGTACATTTTTGTTTCATTTTCATCACACCATTAAAAAAATAGAACTATTGATGTTGTTATTTTTTATTATTTAAACACTGATGTGAAATTATCTTATGGTAACACGTGAGTATCATTGTTAATTTTTTTAAAGGCGTGTGACAAATAAAACAAAAAACATAACATTATGTATGATTTAAAAAAATAATTAGATGACAAAAACATAATCATAAGAATAGTTGGATGGCTTACGTAGTTTATCCTACAAACATTAAGGATTATTATATCTCTATTAAATAAAACATTATTTAAATGAGAGAAAAAAAATACTCAAGAGAGTAGTGCTTAAATGACAATCTCTCTCTTGTCGTTGACTTTTTAGAAACCGCTCTCCAAGTGAAGCTTCAATTTCCGCCGTCGAAAAATATTTAGGGTTTCAGTAATGTTTCAACTCAAGGATGATGAGTGAAAAAATAAGTAGGCTAGTGGGAATGTGTCTTGTCACCTTATTAGCCATCCCACCTGATGGGGTTTGACCCTTTTTATCAAACATGCTATATATTCTTGGTCATGAATAATTGTAGTCTCTGCTCATTAATAAAATATAGAATATATTTACTTTTAGATAAAACTCTCAGGGAAATGAATTATTTTACGTTAATTAAATTATCATTTATATTTTGTTGAAAGAATAAATTAGGATAAACTATGCATTTAATGCTTAAATTATTAGTTTTGATTCGTTTTAATATCTAAACTTTTGATTCTTTTCAAAATCATATCTAACGTTTAGTGTTTGTTTCATTTTAGTACCCGATGTTATAAAACTTAACTCGTTTAGTACCCGACGATAAAAAATTTAACGCTTAGTGTTTGTTTCATTTTAGTACCCGACGTTAAAAAACTTAACTCGTTTAGTACCTAAATCATCAGTTTTGATCCATTTAAGTACCTAAACTTTTATTTTTTTTTTAAACTTAACGTTACATTTTGAACGATGGTACTAAAATGTTATAAAAGCTAAATTTTATGTTCGGTTTAAAAAAATGAACGTTTAGGTACTAAAACGGACGAAAACTGATAGTTTAGTTACTAAACATATAATTTACCCAATAAATTATTACATTATAATAGCTATGGGGGGTTCAAAGCAAATTTCATTTTCTTAATTATTATTCACGTCTAATTAATTAAAATGAAAACTTACTCAATTGTTGAGATTGTCTCATCTAAACACTATACTCTATCCTTTGAATGCCTTAATCAAAACTCCATCATTAGCCTCTTATGATTGGCAGAATTGCTTGAAAGAATATGAAGTCCTAAAGGCTACTAGTGGGGTTTATGGCATAAGGGTCAGTTTCTAGGTCAATAACTTGTCAGCATTACCTATTTTTTACATCAAAAATAAAAAGGAAACCTCAAGTTCTCTATGAATTTTCTTAACATATAACCATGGGGTGCTAATATTATTGCTATTTCTATATTTGAAGACAATTATTTAATTATTAATATTTTATTTAATAGTGTCAAATGTTCTCAAACTTTTTAGAAAATAACCATCTTTAATTTTTTTATGTCCAATTAATCTCGTACTAAAATTCCATCCTTTCACCCTTTTGTTTAATATTAACCATCTAATAGATATTTAGATTAGTTGACATTCTAGAAATTAATTATATTTAATAATTGTAATAAGTTTTTGAATTTTTCGTAAAAAATAATTCACGAATGAAACATGATAAAATTACACTATGTCACATGAGAGTAATATCTCAAGAAAAACTTATTAAAATTTAATGATCAAAATTAGCTAAAGGACTTATTTGATTCAATTTCTTAATTTGAGAGTTCAATTGGATTTAAAAAAAGTATACATTTAATTAATTTTCTTTAAAAATTTACAAGTTTCATAAACCTTTTTTTTAAAGAGTTTTAAAATAGTAGGATCGTGAGTAGGGTGACAAAACTTTAGAAGCTGACCGATTCTAACATAATCCAATAACATATGATTTTGGACCTTTAGTCCAAAAATTGGAAATTTCTGTTTCGAAGCCCAAGAATACTAAAAATATCAAAATGGCTAAACCCTAGAACCATATTTCCCATCAATTCATCAAATTCAGAATATCAAAATCTAATCTCTTAGGCATCTCCAATGGAGATTCTGTTAAACCCTTCTTCTCTCCTTTTACCCACAAAACCCCTTCTTCCAACTCGTTTCAAACTCACTCCACCTTCAACTCTGGGACCCAACTCGCTGACTCGCCGCCTTCCTTCACCACCAGCTCGTCCTCATCGCATCGTCAGAGCTGCAACACTGGACAGTGAGTATTCACCCAAGAGGAGCAGCAGCAATGAGCCGAGGGAAACGATAATGTTGCCTGGATGTGATTATAACCATTGGCTTATTGTTATGGAGTTCCCTAAAGACCCTGCTCCTACAAGGGAACAAATGATTGACACTTACCTCAACACACTTGCCACTGTTCTTGGCAGGTCAGACTTCCAGCTTTCTGGGTTTTGCTTCTTTCATTGAAGAATCAGAAATACAGGTTTTGATTGTGGATTGTGCTTGATTTTTTTGTTGAATTGATTGTCTTTGATTGAGTTCTCCGTAAAATTCAAAGTAGAGGGAAGAGGATAAAGTTTATATATCGATTATTAGAGTTCCTTCCACAACATATTATAACAGTTCATCCTTGGAATTTGAAGCATATGTTGCTTGGGTTCTTCATTTTTTTGTCGGTCATATTGATATAGGGATTTGGAAGAACTTTAAAAAAAAAACCCAACTATATCTGTGTTGGACACATACTGGTTCCAATACTTTCACAACTCACATCTAAGGCTGTAATCGAGTCAAGCCAGGCTTGAACATTGAGAAGCTGGAGCTCAAGCTTGATTTGAAACATGCTGTTCAGAGCTCTGCTCGAGCTCTATTGCATAAGCTTGAGCTCCAAAATAAAGTCAAACTATTCGATTTCAGTTCAATTAAGCTTGTTTGCACGATTTATGACTCAAACTGCAGTTTGAGCTTGAGCTCCGTTCAATACACAGTTCTTTCTATTTTGCTTAAAGTAGTGCTTTAATAACAAATATAAAAAATGCATTTATAAACAAAAAAGTTTTGAGTAGGCTCACAAGCTTCTCAAGATGAGTATTAAAACAATTGAACTCGGCTTGCAAGATAGCTCAAGCTCAGCCTCAAGAATGACCAAACTAAATTTGAGCTTTTTTCGAGCCGAACACGAATAGCTTGTGAGTATAGATGTCTAGTTTACAATCCTAATCAAACCCGAGTTAGTTAATGTCTAGAACTCTTAAGATTTTAACTAGTTACTTCGATTTCCATTTGCACATATTAGTGAAGCTTGCAACTCACATTCGCATATGGGTCTATGGCTCTATATTAAGCATTCTTTTAGGCCATCTTTAATCTTTTCAAGGCCAGATATAATGAATGAGACTTGGGTATCAGCATGAGATTGATGGTTGATCTGAAATTTGGTCAAAATCAAGTTATTGCCATCTAAAATCTGGAGAAAAAGTTTGTGCCAAGGGGAGTTTAATGGCTGATAAAACTTCTAAGCATCATGTTATTACAGATTCTTCATGTTTAGGTCTAGTATTAGATCTTATGTAAGTAACTTTTGCTATGCGGCTGCTGTCGAACTGAATTTTTCTTCGAGGCTTCGAGTCTAGTGTTCAGTTGATGCTCGTTGTGACATAATGTGTTGATGAGTATGGAGATTATTGTGATTTGTGTGTGTTTTAACCATTGTAACTTTTCCCCGTTATTACAGCATGGAAGAAGCAAAGAAGAACATGTATGCGTTTAGCACCACTACATATACTGGGTTCCAATGTACTGTATCAGAAGAAACCTCCGAAAAATTCAAGGGTAAGAAGATTTATCATCAACCCTGTTTGTTTGAACTGTATTGTTATTAATGAGTTGGGAATGAACATTGTTTCACATGTAGGATTGCCCGGAGTTCTTTGGGTACTGCCAGATTCCTACATAGACGTCAAAAATAAAGATTACGGAGGTTGTTTCGGCTAATGAACTTTGGTTATGCGAACAAACTTCTTTGTTTCTCACCCAGACAGCTAGATTGTGATCATATAATGTGCTTCTGCTTTTGCTGTCGTGTTTTTGTAGGCGATAAATATATCAATGGGGAAATAATTCCGTGCAAATACCCTACGTATCAACCAAAACCTAGAAAAGACTCGAAATACGTGAGCAAGCGATATGAGAGACGAAAAGATGGCCCCCCGCCTGCTGGACAGTACAGACCAAAGCAATCAGCGAGTCAATCGGAACCATCATCTTAACAAGGTACAAGGAATAAACCTTTTAGTTATGGTGGTCTGAAGTTTGATTTTCATCACACCTTATCGTCTTTTGTAAAGTCTTTGGGGTAGTTTATTTATGCGGGCTGAGATGGACCTATTCGAGTCATTCGGATGCTGTCAATTGAGAAATATGTTATTCATTAACATGAATCTTCGTGACCCGTGCATTCTTAAAGGCACAATTTATTTATGGAAATAACACTTGTTTTTGTCATGTAGGGTAAAATTGTTTCTTGTGATCAACTATCTTTAGAGCAAATAGTAAAAAACTCTCTATTGATATGTTCATTTTAAGTCCTAAATTCAATACTCATTAAAATCAAAATTCTCTCCTCTTATAAATTGTTCCAAAGAACAAAAAAAGTGTTCCTTGTGAGTCGTGCCTATTGAAAGGCACATTTGATAGGATGCGTTATTGTCATGTGTTGTATCATGTTGCTATTTAAATTATAACATAAAACTTTGGAATGTACCATTTTGTGCTTACATGTCTTGACTGAGGTGATTTTTTTTTACTAAATCTACGCAATGACAATGAGTCAAAAACGTCTTATCACCTTTGTTTTGTCCAAAATAACATCATTCTTGTCTTTAAATTTGCAATTTTAGATTTTTTATAGGAAAATTAAAAAAAATCGTTCTTTTTTGAATTGTCAAATATAAAATGTTGGTTTTTTCTTAAAAAAATATTTATAAAGGTCTGGTATTCATGATTTTACTACAAATTTTACCACAAATCTATACATGGTTCTTCACAAATGCAATATAAAAAGGGTAAATTACTCATTTAGTACTTAAATTATCAATTTTAATATATTTTAACACATAAATTTTAATTTTTTTTTTAAATTATAGTTAAAGTTTAGTTTTTTTTTTCATTTTCATATCTTTTTTAAAATTTAAAGTTAAGTTTTTTAAAAGAATATAGAAAGTTTAGTACAAAATTTCTAACATCTATGTCACTAGGATAAAAACGTGCTTTACCAAATATGCCTTCTAAAGTATACTATTAAAATATATTATTTTTAAAAATAATTTCTTAAAACATGTTTAAGTAATAAAACCAACAAATAAATCTAAATTATTAAAATAAAAAAGTGTGAGATCTTTGGCACAGCAGATTCCATAATAGGAAGAGGTCAAGCAAATATCACGCGTTTGGGACCATGCATGGTCCACACGTGGACCAATTTGCAACCGGGAACCTGCTTTTACCTTAAACCATCTCTCCAACACAAGCACGCAATCCAACGCTCGTGACTATCTGATCAACAAGATCGCCAAGTTGCCAGTCACCCTTGGTCCACGTGTGTCAATTCACTTGGGTTGGGTCACCTACCTTAGGTCCCCCATCCGTCAATCATTTATTGCTCCCTCAAATAAAAAAAACTAAAAACTAAAAAGATATTTCTTCTATTAATCCGATAGATGATTACAAAATTAGACAAAACATCAAACCAAATAAAACATTGTAATGAATATAAATTATTAATTTATCAAAAATGTTACATGCTGTTACCATCAAACCATTTTTCCTTTCTTAAGTGGTAAAAAGGTAAATAAAGAATCTCGTTTGTCCTTTTTTTAGAAACACATTTTTCTTTGATTCAAAAGTAGATTTTTTTTTCTTAAATTTTTCTTTGAATTCTCGAGTTTAAACATTATAAATATTAAAGATGTGAGTCAACTGATTGAGAGCTATCTTTGTACATATATTATTTTATATTTATCTTAAATTTATAAAAAATAATAAATTAAAATATATAGGAATTTATTAAATTATATAAAAAGTATTTTTTGATTAATAAATTTTTAAATATTATAGAATGATGATTAATTTTTTTAAATTATTATAAAAATATTCTCTTGTAATATTAAAATAACAATATTTTTATAATTTTAAGGTTGATACATGTAAAAATCATTTTGTAAACTTTTTAATGATTATTTTACAATCATTTAAATAGATTAATAATTATTTTATGTTTAAAAAAGCATTTGTAAAAGAATTTTATTTTTATATAATTCAAAGATCTCTATGTATTTTATCATAAAATATAAATATGAATGGAAGCTAATTACATAAAATAATAAAAAGAAACTGAATTTTAAAGGATAAAACGACATGTTTGCCCTTCATTAACTACCCTGACATTATGAGTTTCTGTCGTCTTCCCTGCAATAGAAGCAACCGTTACACTCTTCGTGTGATGTGATTTGACCATGCTGTCCTTTCATAAATTAACCCCAATTTATGAATTAATAGAATTATTATAATTCGAGTTAGTGTTTTTGAAAATAATAATTTTTGCTTGACTTGACTCAACAAAAAAGATTGAGATTGACAACAATTTCGTAGGGGACAGGATTATTTTTGTTGCATTATTTGAGTTTTGCTTGTGAGAAAAGGAAGCGTAATTCCAAAATAATACAATATTTCAATTAAAATAATTTTTCTTTTAATGTTAAATTTTGTGTTAAATATTTTAGTAGGGTATGATAATAACACAGCCAGATAGATGAAAAAAATATTATTTAAAATAATAATCCTATATTATTTTAGTAAAAGAAAAAGTTTAAAAAATTGATGCAATTTTTTTTAAAAATGTAAAAAAACATGATTTTGTGTTCCCTATAAAAACAATATTGACCTATTATCATGCACATAAAAGGGGAGAAAAACAAGATAACATAATGCAAATAATGGACCGCCATGTTTAAAAGCTTAACACACGTGATTGATTAGATTTCTTTATCATTTCGTCAAACCTCTTATTCAACATAGATAAGTAGTTTGTATGAAGGTTATTGAATTTTGATATTGATCGTCATTTTCAATGGTTATTTTTAATTTTCTTCGTATTTTTAGGTTTCTTATATACTTTTGTTTAGTATTTATGTGACCATTGTCTTCAAATTTATCTCTTTATTCTGATTTGTTGTAGTTTTGATTCCTTTCATTATTAATAAGATCCAATTGCCATTGTTCAATTTTTTTTAGATTTGATCATATATTCTCCTCTAAATTTGTAATATAATAAAATGAAAGAAGAAGAATTTTATATAATATATAAAAGAATACAAATTATTGTAGAAAATAATATTTTCAGTTTGTAAATTGGACCCCTAGAGGAGGACAAAAGAATCATTTCCCATTTTTCTAAACTTTATTGAAAACACTATTTTCATTTTTTTTGGTTGTAAAGACTTGATCTCTTCTTAAACATTTCATTTCCATTTTAACTCTCTTTTTCGTACGTTTCTATGCATTCGAAACAGCATCATCCATGGCATTTTTCACCACCACCACCACCACCAAGAAAAACCTCATAAAATTCCTCCATTTCCTCACGATCATCTCCTTATTCTCAACATTTCCTTCCTCATCATCGTCTTCGTCGCCGCCTTCGATCCACGATCTCCTCGTCTCGAGAGGCTTACCGAAAGGATTACTCCCCAAGGAAGTGAAATCCTACACACTCTCGGATAACGGAACCCTCGAGGTCTTCCTCGACGAACCGTGCCTGACAAAGTACGAGATAGGGTGTTGTTCGACAGTGTGGTGAGGGCTAACCTTAGCTACGGCAGCCTAATTGGTGTGGTCGGTTTAAGCCAGGAAGAACTCTTCCTTTGGTTGCCTGTTAAGGACATAATTGTCGATGACCCTATGTCTGGTCTAATTTTGTTCGATATTGGTGTCGCTTATAAACAGCTCTCTTTGTCTCTTTTTGAAGAACCTCCTCACTGTAAACCTCAAGGTACTTCCATGGCTTCCTCTTTGTTGATTAGCATTATATATATATATATCGTTTTGAGCTAGTATCGGGTGGGTTTTTTTCAGGAATATTGAAGAATCTAGCGAGGAAGCAGAAAGGGTTTGAGGCTGTAAGATAAAAGATTCCAAGCTGTGTCAACTTCTTTTTGTTTCTAGAATACGTGATGATTAATTAGGTTTTTTTTTAATATAATTTTAATTAAATATAAGTAATTTTGAGTTATTTTTAGAGTTGTCAAGAAATGTGATTTCATGGAAACTAATGTTCTAATGACATTTAGAGATCCACTCTCTAGAGATTTTAGATTAAAACAGTTATATTTGTAGAGCATGAGCTATTAATTAATTGACTAAGAAAAATTTTAAAAAAATATTACCTTATAATAAAAACTACTCTTTATTTTCAATTCTTTATTTCAGACAAATCTTAAATGAATTTCTAAACTTTTAAGTTAACATAAAGGTTTATATATATATATATATCCATCATAATTTTCAAGTTATTTTACAAGGGAAAGTTGGGTTAATGTTGTAGCATTATTAAATGGACCCAGAAGCACCTAAATGTAGGGTACATTAAGCATTGTTCCACTTATTTTGAAGGTATTAATTATTGTAGGACATTCTCATTAATCTTAAATTTCAATTTATATGTGTGTTCATATCTTACTCTTTTGAAGAAGGGAATATGGGGTCAGCCCCTCCCTCATTTTGCCCATCTCGTTTGTCCTTTCATGTATACCTTAAATGGTAAAAGCAATTTAAAGTATAAGAATTATTAATTATTTTTATTTTACTCAAAAAATTAATTACGTTAGAAATATTTAGATAAAAAATTTAAGAATTTCATTAAATAGTATTAAGAATATATAAAATAAAATTATTTTCTCAAAGTAAAATAAAAAATAATATAAAAATTCAAAAGACCAAATTAACAGAATTTTTAAAAATCTGTCCAAACCAACATGATATCACCATAGTTAATTATGAAATCCGAAATAAAAGGAGAACTTTAAAGGCTAACTATAGTTATATTAGGGTCAATTGTTTATTTTGATCCTTTTATTATACTCAAGTTTTAGGTTTAGTTCTTATACTTTAATTAGATACAATTCAATCTGTCTATTTTAATAATATCACCAGCTAATTTAATTAATTAGTATATTTAAAGATTTCAATTAAAAACATCCTCAATTCTTCAAGCTGATAAGAATACTTTCTTATTTGAAAAATAGTATTTCTAAGAAAAAAAATTCATGTTGGTAATTTAACTGTTAGTTGGACTAAGTGATGATGTTATAAAAATAGAATTATACCAAATAAAAGTAAAGTGACTTGATCCCAAATTTGGAGCCTAATAGAGGGATCAAGACTACAATTTGACCTTATTAAAGAGGGCGAGAGGATGACGTGGTTGAAATGGAGAATTTGATATTTAA